TGTTGTCACCTCTCGTAGTTTAGTGGTCAAAACATTGGTGCGTAAAGCCAAAGGTCCCGGGTTCGATTCCCGGCGGGGGTGGGACAGCAGCAACAATTTTTCCCTCATTAATTTGAGGTAGTTTGTAGTGGGTTGAAAATTGAAAAATGAATTTTCAGAATAATATTTCATATTAAACTAACTCACTTCTAAAAGATGTCTAAATTGTATATATGTTTACTAAATATATGTCTGCAAATTCTTAAATGTATGATATTCGTGGTTGCAAATGAAAATTAATATACAGTTTTTCATAGACCTAAACTTCTATATAAATACACTTTGTGTGACCAGTACCTACTCCGGAAAAATTAAACGAGAAGACATACGAAAAATTAATAGAAAGTGCCATATCGCACCATCTAACGATGTACATAAATATAAAGGTATTGACCTTACCGAAAGCCCCAACTGTTCCGCCAATGACGACCAGAATTTACTAACGTAATTTTGTAACGTGGGTCGGCATCACTACTTGTTGTAATGGGTTCCATACGGCCATACGCGAACACGTGCAAGGTAGGAATGCACTGCTGGTTATTTCATGCGGCGATGGTAACGATACAATTCGCAAAACCAACGGAGGTGTATCTTGGTAGGTTTGGAGTATTTTGACAATGACACGAATGCAGAATTTTTTTCCGTAATAACTCCATACCGTATCACGCGGAATCTCTGTTTGCCGTGCAATAATTCAGATACTCTAACTCAGATTATCTTCTATAAGTGGTTCATGACCTCGTGGTCATTAATATAACTACATCCTATCACACCCTTGCTGAGAATCGAAAATTTAATTCACTTTAATGTAATAAAAACCCCTATAAATATTCCTTCTAAAAATTCTAACAACAGTTAGTTTACAACACGATGATTTTTTTTGTGAATACTATCTATGCAACGGTTTCAATAAGATCATATTATACGCGTGGCTTGATTCATATTAAAATAAAACATTAATCTTTTTGATAAGATTTTTTTAACTTTCCGCTTCCAGCATTAACTTATCAATAAAATAGATATTATATTCAGTTAATTACAAGTTATTTACAAACATGTTCCATTGTTCATATAAATAATAACGTTATTAAAAACGTGTATACTAATAAAATAATTCGAAGTGGTCTGTATTCTGTCGAAACTGTCAGACGCGGATCGCGATTTCGATTTTATTGGATCTCATCAGCGCGTCGCAGACAGCTCCTATAGAACACAGACCAACTTTTACCTGCTTTCGAATTATTTTATTCGATTATGGTAACGTGACTATCACGTTCAGGTTAGTTACGCCGGGATTCGTTTCAGCAAGTAGATATCCATTTATTTAAATGGACCTTGTTGGAGCATACGTAATCCTAAAATGTAGCATCGTACTACAGATGGCGTTTACCGCGCCATTTGTGATATTTTCTAAAAGTTTTTACTGTTTAAAGGTATTTACTTACCTCTTTAATGTTTTATTCAGCATTATTCTCGAACAACAAAATACGTATGTAATATAAACTGCAAACATCACAGTCAAAAGTTATATCACTAACAATGCTTGGAAAATATACACTTGAAAATTGTGAAATGTGTATGCAAACATGCACTAGAAACAAGCAAAGTATGCACTTTTATAGACAAAAAATATGTATGTAAATTTCACAATATACAGAATACAACATACCCATAAATTCATTTGGAGAAATAATAAATACCTATAAATGAAACTAGAAAAACTTCAGATTACAGGTACATTAAGGTATGATATTATTCTGACAAAAAGCACAAGACCAAAAACACAAAAATAGTATACGGTGTAATAGTGAATTAACTTTACCCACTATAGATACAGATGCTTCGCATGGGTGTAACAGCTTTTTTGTCATTAGACAATACAAACCGGCCAATACAGCCGCAACAGCTATGTCCCTGCATTTTAAGCCTCTAATATCTTCGAAAATATTCATTTAAATTAAATGGTGTAAAGGGTCATATTGATCTACATTAAATGCGCAATATATTTAAAAGTACTTAATTGGATCAGGATTCATGCTGTATTGCTTAAAATCGCTTCGTAAATAAGCCATTCATTCTCGCAAAAAATAAAGGATAAAAAATGGTGCTGGCGAACTTTTTTGTAGACCTTTTTAAGGTGTACAGTACTGTAGTATATTATTTTGATCGATCTCGTAGGGTTCAGCCAGCGTTTGCAATGTAAGCGCAAAAAAATGTGCTTATTTACGACATCACATTACAAACTATACTCTCTACTATATTATGCATGTGTTATACATATAAACCTTCCTCTTGAATTACTCTATCTATTAAAAAAACCGCATTAAAATCCTTTGCGTAGTTTTAAAGATCTAAGCATACACAGGGACAGACAGCAGGGGAAATGCGTTACATGCTTTCGTTACATAGCAACTCGCATGAAATAAACTTACTTTACCGTGCGTAAAGAAGTTTCACTTCAAAAACATTAAGTTACGGAGTAGTCGATTTAATGTAATAACTGTTTTTCGCTCAATTAGATACATACAACTAAGACAGACAACACTGCCAGGATAAGGCTCGCATTTCAACTTGGAACGTACCGAGTGGCATGGCCTAGAGGTCTAGACCATTGCTTAGTATTCGGGAGGACGCCGGTTCGATTCCGGGTCCGTCTGCCTTGGTTCAAGATTTTCTGTGGTTTCCTTGGATCACTTAGGCAAATGCTGGGGCAGTAATATTTTATATTCTCTTCTGTTTTCATTTCGTCCGTCTCATCATTCTCACCCGAACCACCACCCACCCATTCCCACGGTTTCTGAAAGGAGGCTGAAGAGGGCCTTCCGCCCTACCTTCTGGCATAGTTCGGAGGGACTGCCCGTCCACCAGCATTAGTGGCTGGTGGGAATGAAACACCCAAAAGTTTTTTTTGTAGTAGTTTACTTGGAACGTTGCCAGAACAATATTTAGTCACATAACGTGAAAGCGGCGTTCCGATACGATACGACAAATCACTTGCAGTAGATTGTGTCGTTATCGCACTGTGTAAAAATGACCTAAATATCACAATGAGAACAAAAGGAAACCCATTTCTTTCCAATTTTGGCAGTTATCGTAAGAAATTAGTACAGAGCCAAACATTTGGTCTCGGTCTTACGCCACTGGACACACAACCATCAGACATCCCTGAATGAATTAATCCTATGAATTAGCAGAAGCTCTAACCAAGGACCACTTAGCAAGGACTTTA